GAATAGAAAAATCAGGTGTTTTTTTTTTCCTGCACAGAAGGGATCCATCAGGCCCATATCCAATTTCTTCTATAGCTAATATTAAAACTTAACTAAGGTATACTTGAGACAACTGGTAAGCCCAGATTGATTCATTATTATTAAAGACCATATCTTATTCAGATTTCCTTAGTGTTGGCCAAATGTCCTTTTGTGGTCTAAGATATCAAACTACATTTAGTTGTTCTGTCAATAAATGCAAAACACTTGAAAAATAGGGGTCACCTTGTCCCCCACGAGTGGCTCTCCAGCACGGCCATGGCCCCAGAGGCACACGGACCCAATTCAGAACCTAGCGGCTTCTGGCAGAAATGTGACTGGAGTATGCATTAAGCTATGGTGCCATGACCCACTGGGTGGGAAAGGGTGTTTGTCCCTTCCGCCTTGCCCTCCCGCCCCAACCCCCCCCCACCCCGGTGGCACAGTGGCCACCGCCTCAAAGCCTATTGAACAGCCAGGTATGAGCCAGCAGTGACGGGGTAACTGTGGCCTCATGGGATGGGGGGGGGTGGAACCAGCCCATCCTTCGCCCCATTGAGATCATGAGTTGCCCCCCCGCTCCCAGCGGCTCTCCGGCATGGCCATGGCCCCAGAGGTACACAGACCCAATTCAGAACCCATGGCTTTGGGCAGAAATCCCTCCTTATTTAATTAGTAAAATATCAGAAATCCAAAGTTGTGTGGCCGTGATATGTCATATGCTCTTTATAATAACCAGCAATAGAAAACAAATTATTTAATGATGCCTTTTCAGCAGGTCTGATTATTGGGGGAAAATTCCAAATAATAATGGTGCATCTTTTGTCAAAATTATGAATGTAATCAAAGTAGAGAGAGAGTTAAGTGAAAATCATCTGCCTCACAGGCAGGGGGAGGGGTGGGATGGGGGCATATTGGGGTTCTTGGTAGTGGAAAATGTGCACTGGTGAAGGGATGGGTGTTTGATCGTTGTATGACCGAGACTTAAACCTGAAAGCTTTGTAACTGTTCTTATGGTGATTCAATAATAAATAAATATTAAAAAATAGGGGTCACCAGGGAGGAGGAGGATCCTTCCCAATTTCTCTCATCCAGAGGCATGGTGCCTGGGCCCATAGCCTGCTGATGCTGGAGTGGGGGCATGTGGTTCCAGGGACCAAACCCAGGGCTCATAATGCTCAGGATGTGTGCTTGTGTGCTTGCATCATCTCCTGGCCCTACTTGTTACATCTCTCTTTAACACTCCCCTGAGCTGTGGCAGTTCCCCACGCCTTCCTTCTCTTCAGTGCACTTGGTAATTTTTATGTACTTGGCGTTGGTGAGCAGTGCTGCTCAGGTTCTTTTTGGAAAACGCCCCGCTGTTGGGATTTGTCTGATGTTTAGCTCATGGTTAGTCTGCGATTATGGGTCCTGGGAGAAGGGCCGCCGAGGTAGGCTTTCATCAGATCCAGAGGCCCTACTATCAGTGTGCTCTGGCTGTTGAGAATAACCTCAGCTCTGTCAGGCTCCCGACTGTGAAGCATCACTGCCACCTCTCCACTCCGCCTCCCATCCTGAACTCTGAAAACCTCTGTGCTCAGCCCACACCTAAGAACTGGGGGATGAGGCCCTGCCTCTTTCAGAAGGGGGTCGCTCTGGGAGGGGAATTTGCACTGAAGACAATCTTTTCTCCCCTTATTTTTGTTCACCATATTTTAGGTGACAGTCCCACTCGGACTTTATTTCTCTTGCCTAGCAAATGTTACCATTTGCCATGGGGCTCTCTTTCCCTGGGCCCCTGTGTCCTCTGACACACCAATATTCTCTGTGTGTTTCATTCACTTATTTAAGCATCTCTTCACTTCCTGGCACTGCAGGAGACTCCAGGCTCGCCTTGCCTACTTCCAGCACCAGTCCTGGGTCTGCCGTGTCTGCCTGGTTCCTCCGATTGAACAATGGTTCAGAAACCAAGAGTGCCAGGAGTGCTCGGTGCTCTGCAGCGCCATTACTTCTACGGCCTTGGAGCTGAGAGAAAGGAAACATAAGTGTGGATACTAACCCGTGTGTATACTCATGCCTATAAATATTTCTCCATGTGATCCTCTGCATCTTCATGAAGCTCAACAGTAACCCATTCTGTGATCTCCTCTTCTCATTCATTACCGGGAAGATCACGCAGGCTTCCTCCTGGGGGAGCAGGAGCGGGGGTGGGGGTGGAGTGTCATTCTTGATCATTGCAACGTTGCCTGGTAACATAGTGAACACATATTTATCTGTTTCCAAGGAAACAGAGCTAGTTGACCAGAGGTCAAATTTTCATGCAAAGAGGACAAGGTTATTATTATTATTTTTTTGAATCGTTCCTCACGCTCATCAGTCTCAGAGGGGCGAGGGCAAGCTCTCCGATACTGCAGTGCTGCGGTACCCAGCCTGTCCAGGGCCCAGAAATCCTCCATGTTCCCATCAGCCTTCACACTCACCACATTCCCAGGCCAGCCCCTCTGCTGGCTACCTGCCTGCCTCCTACTCATCCTTCCCATCTTAAATGGCCTCACTGCTCGAGAGAGCCGTCCTCATCTCCCATCCCAGGGAAGCCCCTTGTCTCTGGCTCACACAGCACCACTTACCTTTGCTTCCTGATGACTGAAATGGAGTCTACTGACTTAATGGGTATATAACTGATGCCTAGTACATTTTGGGCTTGTTTATTCAATGATTCTTTTTTTTTTAATTAAATGATTCTCAGAAAAATTTGAGGGCCTCTAAGTATCTGCCCTCTTTCTCTCTTTGTTTTGTTTTGATTTGGGGGGGGGCCCACATCTGGCCATACTCAGGTCTTATTCCTGGTTCTGCACTCAGGAATTACTCCTGGCAGTGCTTGGGGGGCCATATGGGATGCCGGGGATTGAATCCTGACTGCGTGCAAGGCAAACGTCCCACCTGCTGTATTCTATCTCTCTGGTCCCAGTGTCTGCTCTTTTCTTATTTCTTGGGATAAGAATGCAAGACAATCGGGCATATTTTGCCCTCAGACACTCTTTTTTTTCCTTTTTTTGGTGGTGGGAGAATACACCCATTGGTACTCAGGGCTTATTCCTGGCTCTGTGCTCAAGGATCACTCCTGGGAACCATATAGAGTGCTGGTGATCAAACCAGGGTAGGCCAGTGCAAGGCAAGCACCTTACCCATTGTACTATCTCTCCCATCCTGGTGGCACTTATTTTAGCTTTATATATTTTGATTTGGGGGCCACACTGGCAGTGCTCAGGGTCTACCCCCAGCTTGGTGCATGAGGTTCATTCCCAGCAGTGCTCCAAAGGACCATGCAATGCCTGGGCTCCTGTAGGTAAAATAAGAACTTAGGCCCTTTGAGGCCCCTCCTATCTCTGTGTTTACATTTTAGGGGATTGTGGGGGGACTGTGACAATAAATAATGAATAAGCCAATGTCAGGAGCTGAAAAATGCTCAGTACAGTACTCCAAGTGAGGGAGAAAGGGGCGTCAGGGCCCTGCCATCTTTTATTATTTTGGAGGGTGGGGGTGGGGAGAGAATACCTTCAGAATTCGGGGCTTACTTCTGGTTCTGTGATCAAGGATCACTTCTGGTGGGGCTCAGGGAACCATATGGGGTGCCCAGGATCACACCTAGGTTGGCCATGTGCAAGGCAAGTGCCCTACCCAACGGTGCGATTGCTCCAGTCCCCTGAACTTTTATAGGATGATACGGGAGGAATCTCAGAGAAGGTGACAACACCTGACAAAGGCTGGAAGGAAGGAAGTGAGGGGGTGAGCCTGGAACACCTGGAAGTAGATCTGAAGGGACAAGGGACAGGCTGTCTGAGGGAGGGGACAGCCAAGCCACAGGAGAGGAGAGTGAGCTGGAGAATGGAGCCTCTTGGACACGGCTGCCCAGCTGTGAAGTGGGGAGCCCAGCGACCAGGGTGCCGGGCAGTTAGCATCCTTTAGAGGCTTTGACAATTGGCCTGGTCTGTGGGTGGCAGTCAGCGCTGGGGCTCCCCCATCCCTGGAGGGCCTGGCCAAGTGGCATCACAGGGTCACAGGGCTGTAGAGACCCAGGCACCTGGCTTCCAGGGTGAATCCTCCTGCCTACTGGTGAGGAAGGCACTGCTTTTGGGGCTGCACCCGGGTAAAACCGGGGAGCCAGGCTAGGGCATTCTCCTCTGCCCTTCTGGGTAATTCTAGGCCCTTCTAGATGACCCCCCTTTGCCAGCCCTCACAGCTGGAGCGTGCAGTCCCAGCTTCCGGCGGCAGAGGGGACTACTGGATTGTAGGTGCCCGAAGCCAACGCTGGGGCTCAGGAGTCTTTTTGGAAACCCCACCTGCCCATCTTGCCATGAAACTTCTCTCTGGGCTTTAGTAGCCCCCCAAGAGGGAGCGTGTCCTTCACTGTTAGGGGAAGGGTTCCTCGCTCAGTCCCTGGCCTGAGGACCCAGTACAGGAGAGTGAAGTCACGCCCTCTGACGCCCTGACACACCCACCCACCTGGGGTCTAGGTTGGGGGATGAGGAGTTTACTCTCTGGTGAAGGAGGCGGGCAATTGACCAAAAAAAAAAAAAAAAATCATCAGGATTCCGGGAGACCCGGGCAGAACAAAGGGAGCGGCCGGGGGCGTGGGCGCGCCCGCGAGCCTGGTAGGGTCCCCCGCTGGGGAGCCAGGGAAGGGAGCGCGGTAGCGGGTTCACGAGGGTGAGGGTGCCCTTCGGCCAGGCCGCCAGGGAGCCCAATCCCTCCGGGCTCGGTACCCCACCGTCCCACGGAGCGAGAAGCGCGAGGGCCGGGGGCTCCCTAGGTTGGTCCGAGGCTCTCTTGCACCTTTAGGTGGCGCCCTCGATCCGCGGAGCCCCGCGCTCGGGCGCCGACCGTGGGGCTCGAAGGAGCTCGGAGAGGACCCTGGGTCCTACCTGGGGGCCGTGCGTGCGCGCGCGAGTGTGCCGGGGGAGGGGCGGGGGGCCGAGCGGGGAACGTGAAGCGTCAGGCGTTGGCGCAGTCGGGGCTCCCCCGCCGGGCCGGGAAGCAGGCGGCGGGGGAGGGGTCTCCGCCCGCACCCACCCCCGCGCCCCGCCCCTGCACCGAGCCCCGCGGGCTCTCGGCTTCGCCGCCCGAAGCCGGGGCGCTGGAGCGACCGAGCATCCCCCCGCCCCCAACGCCGCGACCCCCGGAAGGCGACGAGGAGCTGCACCCCCAGCCCCCCGCCGGACTCCGGGTCTCTCCAGCGCGAACTCTGCGGGCGGAGCTCCCTCGGCGGTGCTCGGCGATCCCCGCCCCCCGCGCCCCTTCCCCCGGCGCCCTCTCCCCGGCGCGGGCAGGTACGTGCGCCCGGCGAGGGGGCGGGAGCCGCGGGAGGGCGAGGCGGCGGCGGCGGCGGCGGCGGCCGGGCCCGCGCCCTCCCGGGGATGCGCCGCAGCGGAGACGCGGGCTGCGGCGAGGCGGGTGGGCGCCGGGGAGGACGCGCCCGCGCGCGGAGGCCAGGAGGGCGGCCGGGGCGCAGGTACGCCGGCGCCGGGGGGCGGCGGGGCCGGCGGGGAGGCTGCGGGCCCGAGGCGGGGGGCCGCGGCGCTCGACGACGAGCCTGACCTCCCGGCCCGGCCGAAGGACACGCGGCTCCCCGCCGAGCCCGGCCTCCCCGGAACGCCCGGCCGTGCGGCTCTGGGCGCCGCCGGCCCGGTGTGGCCTGGCCGGGCCCCATTGGCGCTCGGCCGCCGAGAGCAGGAGCCGGGGATATGCGCTGCGGCGGCGGGCGCGCGGGCCGCCGGTGCGTGGCTTTCGGCGTGGAACTTTGGGCACAGCGCGTGGACCTGCGTGTGCGCGCCCGAGGCTTTGTGTACAACTCGTGCGTGTGTCGGTGCTCTGGGTTCGGCGCGGCTTCACCCACTCTCCTGTGCGTCAGTGTCCCCGCCCGTGAGCGCGCGGTGGTGGGTGGGGTGCTGCGCCCGGGGGTGGGGGGAATCTTGGCTTAGATCTCAGCTTTCCTGGGGACACGTGTGTGTGTGTGTGTGTGTGTGTGTGTGTGTCCGCGCGCGTGTGTGTATGCGCGTGCGTGCGCGAGTGTGGATGTGTGCTCACACGCGTGTGTGCGTGTTTGTGCATGTGTGTGCGTGCCTGCGTGCATATGTTTATGTGTGTGCGCACATGCGTGTGTGTGCTTGTGCATGCGTGCGTTTTTGTGCGCACGTTCGTGCTTGTGTGAGTTTGCGCACGTGCCTGCCTGCGTATGTGTTATGTGTGCGTGCGTTTGTGCATGTGTGTGGGTGGTATAATCCACAGCCCTACCCGTTCCATATTGTGGGTACCTGCTGTGGTGCTAGGACCACTTTGAGGCTTACCCTGGACAGTGGGGATATGTGTAAAGGACTGGGTGTGAATGTGGGGCTGGGTTGAGCCTTTCATTGCCTGCTGGACGGTGGATGGAATTGGGGTGATTACCTGGAGAAGAAGGGGGTGATAGTGGGGACATAGGCACCTGGATGTTTGTTTCTGTTTTGGTAACTGGGAAGCCCCCACCCACACTGTATGTGAGAAACATCATGGGGAGCCCCTGATTTTCCTTTTCCTTACTCTGGCAATTTCAGAACCGCAGGAAAAAGTCTGGGGCCCCTAAAGAGTGAAAAAAGGCCCTGCTCTCAGAATTTAGGTCCTGGGTTTCCTTTGGGGTATGGTCTCAGTGTGCCCACAGGGGACAACAGAGGAGCTTGCAGAGGGTCGGAGTGAGGGCTGGAGAGCTGGGGAGGAAGGGGGAGGGTTTGGGGTGGTCACAGTTCTTAGGATACCCGCCCTCATAAGCAAGCTCTGGGGTCATGACCAGGTAGCTTTTGTTTGTGTGGGGCCACACCTGATGATACTTGGGGTTCTCTGCCCAGGGACCACTCCTAGCAGGGCTTGAGGGATCAGATAGGGTGCCAGAGATTGAACCTGGGTTGGCTTTGTGCAAGGCAAGCACTTTGCCTGTAGTATTTTGCTCCAGCCCTTGGCCAGATTTTGTGAACCAGAGCTAGTAATTCCTGGAATGGGAAGGGTTGTTTCAAATATTCTAGGAGCCTGGGGTAGCGCAGGTGCTCAGGAAACATTTGTTAAGTCGGCAGTCAGGGAAGAGGGACGTGGTGGTATAAGTGGGTTGACAGTAGAAAAGGCTTTGTACTCGGATGAAAGGCCCCATATGCCCCAAGAGGCGCTGGGGATGTGTGTGATGGAAGTCCACGCGGGAGGGAAGATCAGAAAGGGGCAGGACGTGCCCTCCCACACTGAGCTCTTTGGAGTCTTACGCATTCATTCATTCCATTCACTTTTACTTTTTTCATTAGCTCATGTATGCTCGCTCTCACACATGAAACAATAGACACACGAGAATTAGCTAGGCAAAAGCATAGAAACAACTAGAATCGTGCGTGTTTGGGGGTGAGTTGGGGATCAACTTCAGGGCCTCTTGCATGTGAAACATGCTTTACCACAGCCGTCTTTCTAGTGCTGGGTGTTGGTGTGTGTATTGGTGAGTATGTGAGAGTGTGAGTGTGTTTGAATGTGTGCTTGTGTCTTCGTGTGAGGATGTATGTGAGGGTATGCATGTGTAGACTCCTGGGGGGTCTTGGTATAGTGTGGGACCCTCGGTCCGTGTGCTCATGATGTTAGTGTGGGCAGGAAGCAGGGGGGTTTGTGGGCTGGGATCAGGAATCCCTTGTGGTGATGAAGAGGGGAGCCCTACGGTCCCCTCAGCGGGCTCAATGGCAGTGCTGCCATGTTGTGATGCAGGAAAGAAGAGTCTAAAGTCGTAATCTCTCTTTTTGGCATGGAGTACTAAGGATCAAACCCGGGGCCTCGCACCTGGAGGCATATGTTATATCCCCCTCCCCCAGGTGTGAAAGGTTTTACTTCTCATGGCTTGGCAACTACTTCAACCAAAGTCAAACAGACAAGAAGCCGAAAAGCAAAACTTCCCATGAGGCATTTCCAGCCTATGTGATGTAAGCTACATCCTCTGACAGGAGGGGTGCTGTCTGTGTGTGGTGTGTGTGTGTGTGTGTCTGTGTGCATGTGTGTGTCTGTGTGTGTTTGTGAGTCTGTGTGTGTAGTGTGTCTGTGTGTGTCTATGTATCTATGTGTACGTATGTATGTGTGTGTCTGTGTGTGTGGGTGGGGGGGCACAGACAGTCCTTCCTTCTCTCCTCCGTTCCCCTCTTGTGGTCCCCATCCAGGTGTGCCCCACTCTGCTGCTTACAAACATGTCCCTTCCTCAATGCCCTTGGCTTCTGGCCTCCTTTCTCCTGCCGGAACTTCCTCCACATGCCGCCCCCAAACCCATCTTCCCTCTACCCCTTCCCCTCCTATTGGGCCTCCCCACAGCCCACCTCAGCGTGCCCTGGCTCCTGCACTGACTCTTAAGAGTCCCTTGAGAGTGGCTTGGGGACCCCTGTCCCCTCACCAGAACGCCCTTATTCCCCCTCAGCTGGGGCGTCTCACAGTTGTCCTCAAGATCTGACTCAAGTGCCACCAACACCCAGAAGCTTCCCTCAATTTCACCCCTTAGTCTCTGTGTGGCCTCCCTCATCTCTGCCCACCTTGCCCACCCCGCTGCCCTCACCCTCTGGCTACCCTCATCCCATCACAGCCGGGCTCCGTGCATTGAACTGGCTGCACCTCCCATCCAGCGTTTCATGAGCTCCTCATCTCATCCCTAGGAGGGAGGCGTTTTGCTTAGTTCCATTTAACAGATCAAAGCGAGTGTGGAGAGTCACACAATCCTGGTTCATCCTGAGTGGTGAAGCCAGGGCTTGACGCTGCTGTCCACGGTATCTCAAGTCCTGTGCATTGAGTGCTTCCTCTCCAGCCCTGCAGTGGCCCCCCAGAGACGGAGGAGTGGGAGTCCTGTGGCTTTGTAGGTGGCGACAAAGGCCCAGGGAGGAATGTCTGGGACCTTGTCTCGCCCTTCCCCCTGACCTTGGGCCGGCTCCCCAGGTGGGATGGTGTATGCTTGACATGCCAGGGACCAAGTGGGGCTCCAGCAGCCGCGGGCTCTTGGGGTCAGCTGGCCGATTCCACTGACGTCTGTTTTCTTTGCTAGGTGCCAAGGGATGAGCTGGGCTCCTCCATCCCAATGGCATCTCCCCTTGGCCTGGAACTGAAGACCCTGAGCAATGGTCCCCAGGCCCCCAGGAGACCGGCCCCATCCAGGGGGGGTGTGGAGAATGCCTGCTTCTCCTTGGAGGAACACGAGATCCATTTCCAGAACTCTGCCGACCCCAGACTGGCCAGTCCTCCCAGCCCCGCGGGGGGCGCCGCCTCTGGGCCGCGGGACGATCTGTCCCTGCATTCCGAGGAGGGGCCGGGCCCGGAGCCCATAAGCCGCCCGGTGGACTATGGTTTCGTCTCGGCCTTGGTGTTCCTGGTGAGTGGGATCCTCCTGGTGGTGACCGCTTACGCCATCCCCCGCGAGGCTCGCGTCAACCCGGACACGGTGACGGCTCGGGAGATGGAGCGGCTGGAGATGTACTACGCACGCCTGGGTTCGCACCTGGACAAGTGCATCATCGCGGGCCTAGGGCTGCTGACGGTGGGCGGCATGCTCCTGTCGCTGCTGCTCATGGTCTCGCTGTGCAAGGGCCAGCTGTACCGCCAGCCCACCTGCGTCTCGGGGCGCGGCTCCCGGAAGACCTACGGCTCCATTAACCTGCGCATGAGACAGCTCAATGGGGATGGCGGGGGCCAGGCCCTGGTGGAGAGCGAGGTCGTCCATGCCTCAGAGACCAGCCACAGCCTCCAGGGGTCCTAAGTAAGGAGCCGCGCTCTCTGGATGCTTTAGCTCGGGGGTTCCCGGCCGCCCGCCCACCTGGAGACTGCAGCAGGGAGCTCGCTGGGAGGGGGAAGCCCCCGGCCTGGCGAGGGTCCTCTTGGGAGATTGGTTCCGGCTCTGTCTTGGAGCTTGAGGTTTTGTGGAAGGTTTCATTTGGAGGGTGGCTCCCTGCTCTAAATACACAACGTTTGGAAACTGCTGCCGTGGCCTGAGGTGTCCTGGGGTTTCTGAGGAGGAGAGCCCCGTGCTTGTGCCTCGGGGAAGCCCGGGATTGCTCCTTGGCAGAGTTGCGGGCGGGTGGGGCCGGGGAGCTGCGGTGGGACCCTTGTCATTTCTGGTCATCTCAGATGGGAGGGAGGCTTCACAGAGAGGGTGGGGAAGTCAGCATCGGGGGGACTCTCTTCTGTCTGCTCTTAGACCCCCACAGGGAAGTGAGGTGGGTGGGATTGGGTGGCGTCCCCGGAGCGCTGCCACTTCTCTGCTCGGAATGGCCTCTGGCCGCTCCTTCGGGGGTGGAGTGGCTCTGGTGGTGCTCATCAGTCTCTGTGCCATTTTCCAGCCTGGCTTTGGTGGCCACCATGTCAGCCAGCCACCGCCCCCTGGGTTCTGCTAGAGAACCCCCAAACCGCTCAGTGCACCGGGGGAGGCAGTTTGCTGCAATCTGCATTGAGTCTTGAATTGGCAGGGGGGTGGGTGATAGGGATGAATTCTTGCCACCCAGTTTTCACAGTCGAGCAACATATCCCCAGTTTCTGGTCATGAGGGCTCTGTTCACCGGAAGAGGCAAAGGCGTGTTGCGTTCCTATGGACACAACTCACGCATGGGCCTTCATCCTGCACCCCTCGCTGGAGGTCTGGCTCTTGGCTTGGACCTTATTCCTGGAGCAGGAACACTCCCTTTGAAACATTTGTTATCCCTTTGAAAAATTTGTTATCTCTTCCCCTGGTTCCTGCCCTCCACCCCTCCCCACCCCCAGCCACATCCCCTTAGCAGTCAAGAGTGTCCCTTATTTATCTAATGGAGGGAAATCAGGTCCATTCTGGGTCTGATCACTGTTTTCTTGGTATCCCTTGTGGATGCTTCCAGGCTCTGTCCAGGCCCTCTTTAAATAGACACGGACAGGAAGTGGGATGGGGCTGTGGTGTGTGCATGGAGATTGGGTATTTCGGGGCTGGAGGAGCATGGTCCGGACTGCCTGGACTTGGCAAGTCCCTGGCTTTTAGGCTGCTGGTGTGGAAATTCTTAATGGGGTCATCCTGGTGATCCGTGGGTTTCTGGCAGCTCGGGGCCACATGGCGGCCACATGGGCACAAATCCTGTCTCTTGGAGGTGGGAAGGTGCGGGGGGGGGGCTGGGCTCCCATGGTCACTGGAGCCGGAGCCTATGAAGTGAACATCTGGGTGGAGGGACATTAAGGCTTCTCTGCTTGTCAGCCATCTGCTCCTCCTGGCAGCTTTGGCCGGGAGCAAAGAGTGGGGAGGTCTGCAGGGGTGAGGGTTGGGCTCTGGTGTGGACGGGCTGTGGTTTGCAAAGAACAAAGCCTCAGGGTGGTGTGAGAGTCCAGCGCCAGGGCGTCAGGCCTCCCTCTGAGGCAGCGTCACTCCCAGCAAGGAGTGGATGCGGATGGCCTGAACCGTCCCAGGTCAGTGACAGTGGAATTGACCTCCTAAAATCAGGGACTGAGTAAGCCCTCTCAGCCCCGTCGTGAGGAAGATAAAAATATCAATCTGGGCCAGTCCGATGGCGGGGAAGGTGGAGGGATGCATTTGGAGGCCAAGCCTGGTGAGCGGATGCCTTTGGGAGCCATCAATTCACATCCGATTATAGGCGCTGAATTGTATTTAGGAGCGAACGCTGCTCGAAGATGAAATCCTGGGAATTTTAGGTGTTCGGCGAGTCCGAGAAACCTGCTTTGCATCCTAATGCAGAAAGTCCTGTAGAAAATGTGCAATCATGGATCGGAGCAGCCATTACCTTGTCAGTGAATTAAGGAAACTTGAGAGGTGCCAAAAACATTTCCCCCAGATTGCGGCTGAGCTCTCCCAGCCGGGTTTCCCAGAAGTGGGGTGAGGAAGGAATTGGGCAGGAGCATGGTTGCGGGCTCTGAGAATTTTCTTGGTGGTTTTTCTCAGGGGTAGATGTGGAGTAGCCCCAGGGCACCGCTGTGGGCACTGAAGTGTGTCAGAAAGGGCCTCTCACACCTGGTGTGCCCCTTGGCTCCTTTTCCTCATGTATCAGATCAGAATTTTGAAGTTGGAAAGACCCGCCTCTTCCTGGCTGTGTGGCTCACTCCCCAGGGGAAGCAGGTGCAGATCAGAGGACAGACGCCCCCGTGGTCTGAGGTCCTGTCGCAGTCAGTGGTCACGCTTCTTATTTGGGAACACGTCCATTGTTCTGGAATCTTCCAGGTCTGCCCATCCTCGTTTTCCCTCCTCCTCCCCCATCTCCAGGCAGCAGGTCTGTCAGTCTGTTTTTGCAGGTGACCACAGACTGCCCTCGGTCATCCCGGCTGCTCCTGACTGTGCCAGTCTCTCCTGTCTGCCTGCTGTTCCCAGCCCGTCCCTCACTGCAGCCTGCGGGGGCCCTTCACGGCTCTGCACTGCTCCCTCCTGCAGTTCCCTCACTCTAGGCAGAAGCTAGGATTCCTACAGGGCCAGTGACCACTTACCACCCACATCTCTTCAGCTCCCAGGCTGGGTCACGATATTATAGTTTTGACTTTATTTTTAGGAGGCCCCCTAAGTTCCATGTGTTTCAGGGACCCACACATCTGAACGAGCCTCTATGCTACCTGATACCCTGCTTCTCTCTCTCTCTCTCTCTCTCTCTCTCTCTCTGCCATACCCGGCAATGCTCAGGACTTACTCCTGGTGCTGCACTCAGGAATCACTTCTGTCTGTGCTCAGGGGACCATATGGGATGCTGGGGATCAAACCCAGTGGACTGTGTGCAAGGCAGATGCCCTACCCGGTGTACTATGGCTCTGCCCCCTGAGTTCCCACCCTTGCCTCTTTGCTCACTCTGTCCAACCTATGTGCTTCCTGCCTGTCCCACACCCTCATCAGGTTCACGCCCACCTCAGGGCCTTTGCACTCACAGATCCTTCTGCCTAAAAGGCCCCCCTCTCTCTGTTCCTGCACCCTCACTTCTTTTGGGGCTTTATCCAGATATATCACCTTACTGATCATCAACTTCAATTCTGTCCTTTCCCCCATCTCATTCTCTTTTCCTCATCCCTGCTTAAATTCTCTGGAAACCCCTATCGCTGACCAGCCTGCTCTCTTGAACTTTTCTCTCCTTCCACCACCTCCAGCTGCTGGTGAGACCCCCCCTCCCCCGCTTAGGGCTGCCATGTTGGCTTCCCCGGTTCCCGCTGTCCTTGTGTTTGCTTAGTGTTGGCCACCGAGTAGGGATCATACCAAATGCACAAATGGAACACGTGTCTTTTGCCTGCAGAAATGCAGTGGGGCCCAGGTGGGGCCTGGATATCTCTGTCCCTGTCCTGCCTCCTGGAGCCCCCTGAAGGGGTGATGGTCAGTTGTGGGGTGTGGTAGTGTTGGAAGGATTGGTTTTGTCCTTGAGTCCGACGTGGGACCTGGGGAAGCCATTAGCCATCCTCTCTTGGGGCTGTGGCCTGGCCTTCCGCGAGTGAGGTTTCTCTGGTGGAGGAAGACCACACTTTCCTTGTTGGGAGATGGCCGGGTTCTAGTCTGGGGGGACCTTGAGCGGGTGCTGAGGAGTGAGATCTGCTGGCACCGATTCTTCCCCACAAAAGGTTCAGGCCTTGCCCCGGGACTCCAGTCTCCAACCTCACGCTTCTGCCCTCAGATCCCGAGAGGCAGAGATCCTACAGCTGCTTCCTTCCTCGGCAAGCACAGTGCCTTCTGCAACGTCATCCTCCCCATGTAAACACACACACATATGCATGTGCACACACATGCATATGCATGCACACACATGTATGCGTGCACATACACACATGTACACATGCATACACGCCCACGCCTTCCTTATCTGACCTAGCTCAGAAGCCAAGGACACGCACATCCCAAGCAGCTCCATCCCAGGGCACACTCTGGATTTCCCATAGTTTTCTCTTTCTCCAGAGCTAGAAGCCTGAAGTTCCTGGGGATGCCCGCCTCGCAGTGGTGGGGCTCCCTGTTCCGGCTTCAGCTGGCATGTGGGCATTCTTCCCACTTTGCCACCTGCATGGTATGGGAAGAGATGTCTGGGGATATGTTTCTACCTGGCATCTTTCTGGAGGCCTGTTTGGCTCTGGACCATCCCAGGGGAGCCAGGCCTTGTGGGGTACCCCTGCCCTCCTGGCATTGGGGCAGGTCACCCCACCTTCTCTGGGGGCTTTGGGAGGCTTTCAGCAGTAGGGAGCACAGCACCCCATGGGCAGGAGGAAGGGCAGAAAGGGAGGTGGTATGAAGCAGCTGCAGGAGGTGGAGCGCTAAGGCTTCTCTCTGGGAGGAGCGTGGGGTATTGGCGGCACTGTCAGTGCCTCTGGAGACCCCCGCAGCTGGGTCTGAAGAGCGCAGACTTCCCTTGATGGCCTCGAGGAAGTGGAGTGGAGAAGGTTGAGCAGCCCCGTCAGTGAGGGAGGAAGCTTCACAATGCAGGAGCTGCTTTAACTAGGGCGGCAGTGGGGCCCGGAAAGATTGAGTTGAAAGCCCCAACGGCTTCCTGCTCCTCCGTGGAGGACAGTCAATGCCCAGCAACCTGAGTGTGGCTCTTTGGTGCTGCCCCTGGCCCTTAAACCCTCTTTCCCAGATCCTCCTTCCTGACTTGTAACCGGCACCCATACCAAAGGGTGTGCCCGGGAGAGCTGGGTGGGACCTAGGGTGGCAGGATTCTTCCTCCTCCTCCCTCTGAAATGCTTCTGGATTTTTTCTTAGATCTGAAAGGAATGGGACCGGCTCCCTTATGGGGTGCTCTGGAAGCACGGAGGATGGCCCATCAGATGAAAAGTATAATGCAGCCACTGGCTCTGGAGTCTGCTGATGTGGGTGGCTGGTACCTCTGAATCTGTTTCCTTCTCTGTAAGG